TATTTAGTGTTTATTGTATATTGTGACTGATTGCCTGTGATGTAAGCGTGATATAAATGATTGTCAGAATGTTCTACGTGTTGATCATGATACATGTATGGAAGCATGCAGTAACTGTGAGTATGTTATGCATGTTAATGGAAAGGTTATGACTCTAGATATGCTTATTGGTGGTTGAGCTATGGCTTATTTATATGGGTATGATAGTCTACTAATTCCCGCGGAGTTCCTGGCCAACGCGCTGTGTGCTAAGTCAGGGAGCAGGAGTACTTCTGACCGTTGGTATATGAGATAAACAGGCCGCCAGAGCAATTAGTAGACGGGCCGTATTTGACCGAGAGCGAGTCTTACATACGAGTCCGAAAATTCTAGATAAGCATATCGAGAGAGAGTCAGTAACCTAGCTGGAGGTAGCTGAGATACCTCATTAACGAACAGATGACCCTAGTAAGAGAACTAGGAGTCAGTGATGAATAAAACGTAAAAACACCTGGAAAGATTAGTTATGAACCTGTGAATGATAAACTAGCTACTTACTGAGTATTCTAATTACTCATCAGAATTATTATAACTTTTCTTTCCAGATGTAGATGCTGCAGGCCAGCCGAGGACGAGACCAACGGGTTAGAGACTACTGGGAATCCATGTCTGGGTCTGTTTTGTAATTATGCTTTCGTTGTCAAGAATTTACCTTAGTCGTTTTAAGTTTTTTTTAAAGTACTGTTTTTCTTTATTAAAATATTTTACTGGATGTTTTTAGAAATATTTTTAATTTTATGATTGGGTATCAGAGTCTCTTAATATTGTCGATAGTAACTCCTGTTAATCGCGTTGGCGATGAGCGGGTGTTACATCTGCAAGGTATGATCTCGAACGTTACTCTTCAGATTTGAGATCTTCGTTTGGGAATAGAGTGTTAAAGTTTACTATCTTCATTTAGGGAAGATCCGCCACTAATTTTGTGAGGAAATTGGATGAAACATCGAGATCTGAGAACCTTTCCAAGAACGGTAAGAATGTTATCGAACCTCTTTCCAACGCTCATAACTTGCCATATGTAAAAATCAAGAAAAAAATATTGGTACGTAGGTTGAAGTATGATCTAAAACTTTGTTGAAGAAGTCATTATGGTTTGGATTAAGAATTGAGAGATAGAAAAATGAGAAGAACGTTGGAAAACTAATCGAAAACCTTATTTTTCTGTTAGGAGGAGAGAGAAGCCGATGGCGCTCCATGTGTCAACCGACAAGAGGACCGCGTGCGCCAATGACCACCAAACACGCGTCGAACATCGCCTTGGAAGACACGGCTCCAGCCTTCCAGCGACACGCGTCCCCAACCACGCAACCCGACCCGCGTCCCTCAGCTGACCCAGTACCCACACTGCAAAACGAACCGCCACGACCCACGATCCACCAAACCACTGCACCCGAACCGAACCGACGACCAGCAGTTGTAGAAAATCTTGGGCGCGTGACATTCACGCATGGAACCTGCGAGTGATTCCATCCCGGCGCGTGGCTGGCTCGTTTTCGTCCCGTTCGACTTCTGTTTTCCCTATTTTCCTCCTGATTCCACTCCTAACTCTATTTTATATGAAATATGACCTAATTGAGGAAAAATCACTACCTTTCGATATGCCAATTGTGTGGAAACGCTGCGTAAGGGCACGCATCATCCAAGTAAGTCATCACACGAAACTTTAGGAAGAAATACTTGTAGGAGTTGCTTGGAATGCATGCATGCTAGTATGATTATCTTAGGTGGTAGCCTTCCGTGATTGAATGTAGGTATTTGATTATTAAAAGTAAGATGTATTGTATGAAATATTATGAGAATTACCTGAGTATTGTTGTTATGCTTTAAGTTTCCGCTTATTATGTATATGTTTGTTTCATGCTGAAAGGAGGATGTGAACTTCTAAACTCTGCGCTCCAAGAGTTGATGGATGTTATCGCCCCGTTAAGCTTGTATGTTTCTTTGCATGAAATATGTAGGATGATGTTGGATGATAGTTATGTGCATACTCAGTTAATTTTCATGACCCACATTTATGATTAAGTCTAGGGATTCGTGGTTAGAGTAACAAGACACTAAGTATAGACCTAACCTTTCCCCTAGGAGCATAAGAAACTACCACGGCAAACGAACTACCTCTAGAGAACCCTTAAGTTAACTGTGTGTGATTGGTGTTAATGCTTTGTGGGAGACCAGGGGTTCCTGATCAGGACTCGTCTGCTCTAAAGCCGTTTTAGCATGGGAAACAAGAGACCCACGTTGAAACGGACCATTTAGCTGGATGGGAATGGGGGAGGTAGCCCTCCCCGAATAATAGGGGATTTATCATGGGACTAGGGGGTTGTAGCTCACTTCCTAGATATGACACTAAGTAGTCTCATAGCCATGTCGAGGTAGCTATTCGTAGAGTACTAGTCAAACACAGGTTGGCGTAAGGGAACTCTTAAGGTTTAAATGATAGGTTGAAGTACCAAAGAAGCCCCAAGGAGCCAAGACTTGAATTAGATGTTCTAAAGTCAAAGAATAAGACCGTAGAAGTTTGCCAAAATTGGGATGTGATAAGAGCCTACAAGTAAGTGGCTTACTGAGTATAATTTTATACTAATTCTTGCTATACCTTTCTTTTTCAGGTACGTGAGGCAATGGGTCAAGAGAGGGCGCGCTGAACGATGTGGACTGTCAAAAAGGGAGCGTGTCCCGGGGCGTCAGTCTGGTCTTACTAATTAGTATACTTTGTCTTTCATGTTTCTTTCCTTATCTATACCTAGTCACATATGTCCTCTTTGTATTGAAATGCTTCCTTACGAAATAAATGATTCATTCTTTTTTTGAAATAATGTTTTCCTTTGAATTTCTTGTACACAGACTACACGTCATAGTCATTGTTAGTCACGACTTGAGATTATTTTTTTTGGGTCGTGACACTTAGACTACTCTATTTGAAACGCATGAAGCCTTGAGTGTAGGTATTCAGACTGTATCTTAGGACAAGCCCTTGATGCAGGATTAGACTACATCACTTGGAACGTAAGAAGCCTTGGATCGTATTGAAGGGAAAGCCTTAAGATGCAGGTTAAGACTACGTCACTTGGAACGCATGAAGCCTTGAATGTAAATTAAGGTTGTGTCACTTGGAACGCATGAAGCCTTGGACACAGGATTGTCAGTTGCATGGGTAGTGCTGTAAATCCTAGGGGGAGTGTTTTGGAGAAAGAATCAAGAATAGAACAAGAACCTAGAAAGTACCAAGAATAAGAGAGAGATCAAGGACTAGAACATGGATCAAGATCCTAATTCTAAGGAGAAGAACCAAGAACAAAGGACCAAGAACCAAGAACAAATGACCAAGAACCAAGAACCATAGTACTAAGGCTCTTAAAGCAAAACCAAAGTTTTAGAATTTAACGACCAAGGTCTTCAAGAAAGATCAAGATAAGAACCCCCAAGTCAAGAACAAGAATTGGAGGGCCTAATTACTTACAACAAGAACAAGACAAAGAACAAAAAATGTGGTACCCTAGTATATCAAGATAGGATTAAGAGCCTACAAGTAGGCTACTTACTAAGTCCTGTACTCATTCCTTATTCTCCTTTTTTTGTTCAGGCAATAAGGAGCTGGTCGAAGTTGGGAGCAGACTCTGGAGCAGGTGTCATAGACAAACCTCACCCGTCATTCTCAACTCTTTTGTTTTAAAATGTTATGCGTCTATTCTTTTTTTGTATTTTAACCATTATGTTGTACTTTAAATTACTACCGTGCACACACTATTTTGTTATAATGTAAATTATGTTTTAAATTTTAATTTTCTTTATTTCACAAAAAATTTATCGTCTTTTTGAGTCATCGAGTCAATCCGATCCTTACAAGGTGTATGGTGTGGAGCCTTATTTTCATTTTATGGATTAAGTTTATACCTAAAAGTTAAAAACAAAACTTTAAGTAAAACGAACAAATATTTTATAAGATAAAATCTTATATAATATTTGCTGTGGTTGGCTTAAAATGTACTATTTTATTTGTAATTACTAAAGTCATTAATATATAGACTCCTGTTGTGAAGCTTTCCCTCTCAGTATCTCAACGTATATTTTAATTACTTAATCCATAATGAGTTGAACTTAAAAAGAAAAAAAGAGGAAAATAATAGATTAACGAACCAACGAAAAGAAAACTCGTTGAAAAACTAGCATTGTTTTTTTTCTTTTTTTGCAATCTCAATTATTAGTTTGATGATATTTTTTGGAAAAAATAAAAGTCAACTATTCATAACTATATCCTTTTCTTATATATATCATTAATTTTTATAAATTATTTTTAAAATTTAGAGAGTAAATTAAATGTTTTCAAAAAAGAAAAAGATAATTAAAAAAGAAAAAAGGGCGACGGCATAATGAGGTGAGGACAGAGCGACACGGTTTAGTTATTTCAAGGAACCAGCGGCTGCTCACATGAACATGTTCTTCTTTCCCTCTTTCAACACAAGTCCATTATATTATGATCTTAAATTTCCCCGAAAATTCACTCTAATTTCGCTCTCCCCCTTTACTTTCATATCTACCACTTCTCTACTGTGCATAATGGGTCGCTGTAATTTTCACGAAGAAAGCGAAAGCTCCATTAAATTATCCACTTCCCCTCGCACTCTCTTCACATTCGGGTCTCCTCTCTCCCAATCCATTCGAAGGGGACCCCAAAATAAGCTCGTTCTTGGTGGGTTTCAAAGGATTGAAATTAATTCGAGAAAGCGGGGGTGAATTTGTGGTTGTGCGATGGAGTCGAAGGCTCTGCGATTCATCACCCATCAGTCGTTCTTCTCTGTCGTCCGATCTGGGGACCTTGAGGCTGTCAAGCAGGCCTTGGATAAGCTCGCCGGAGATGAACAGGCCGAGGCTTCTTCGATTACCGATCTGATGGCGATGCAGAACGATGCTGGAGAGACGCCTCTGTACGTGGCTGCTCACAATAATCTCCACGAGGTTTTTACCTATTTGCTTCAATTTTCCACTCTCCAAATCCTGAAAATTAGGTCCAAATCTGATATGAACCCTTTCCATGTTGCTGCTAAGCGTGGTCATCTAGGTACCACTCAACTTTAGCTTCTACTGATGAATCTTGCTTTAAATTAGTAAGAATTGGAGGGTTTTTTCTCAAAAGATCTTGAGAGTTAAACTTTCACCTTGTTTCAGGGATTGTAAGGGAGGTTTTGGGTATATGGCCGGAGCTTTGCCGGTCATGTGACTCCTCAAACACGAGCCCCCTGTATTCAGCTGCTGTACAGGACCATTTGGAAGTAGTTGATGCTATCTTAGATGCGGATGTGAGTACAATGAGAATAGTAAGAAAGAATGGAAAGACAGCTCTGCATAATGTAGCTAGGTATGGCCTCCTTCGAATTGTTAAAGCGCTTATCGATCGTGATCCTGGAATAGTAGCCATTAAAGACAAGAAGTCCCAGACTGCACTTCATATGGCTGTGAAAGGTCAGAGCACTGCAGCGGTCAAGGAGCTATTGCATGTCGATGCGTCGGTACTTAACGAACGAGACAAGATGGGAAACACCGCGTTGCATATAGCTACTAGAAAGTGTCGCTCTGAGGTGTGATACATTTAGATTGCTAAGTTTATATTAGAAATGGGTAGCACATAACATATGATTCATGACCTGTTGGTTGTTTCTCAGATTGTAAGCCTTCTGCTGAGCTTTACATCGCTTGATGTCAATGCAATCAATAGTCTAGGGGAAACTGCTATGGACTTGGCTGATAAACTGCAATACAGCGAATCTTCACTGGAGATTAAAGAAGCATTGGAGGAAGCTGGGGCTAAATATGCAAGGCATGTTGGCCAAGTTGATGAAGCAATGGAGCTGAAGCGGACAGTAAGCGATATCAAACACGAGGTTCACTCGCAGCTTATCCAAAACGAAAAAACGCGTCACAGAGTTTCTGGGATTGTGAAAGAGCTGAAGAAGCTCCACAGGGAGGCTGTTCAGAATACCACAAATTCCATCACGGTTGTGGCTGTTCTTTTTGCATCCATTGCATTCCTGGCTATCTTCAATTTGCCTGGTCAGTATATACAAAACGGAAATGATGTTGGGAAGGCAAATATAGCTGATAACATGGGTTTCCAAGTATTCTGCCTTCTAAACACTATATCTCTGTTCATATCTTTAGCTGTTGTGGTGGTTCAAATTACTTTAGTAGCATGGGACACAACAGCTCAAAAGCAGGTTGTGTCGGTTGTCAACAAGCTAATGTGGGCTGCCTGTGCTTGCACCTCTGGTGCTTTCATATCAATAGCTTATGTTGTCGTAGGGCACGAAACATGGATGGCTCTCGCCATTACCCTCGTCGGAGTTCCAATTCTTGTTGCAACTCTTGCAACCATGTGCTACTTGGTTTTTCGACAACATTTTGGTATCTTTCGCAGTGATTCTCAAAGACGAATCAGACGAGCAAGTGGAAGCAAGTCATTCTCATGGCCTCACTCTGTAAACATATCTGATGATGATGATTACAACTCCGACCTCGAGAAGATTTACGCCTTATAGACGTCATTTCTCAGAGCCTGAAAGGATGGTTTCCTGCACATAGTTATATAGATATATTGTAATGTAGATCTAGAGGGCTACCTCCTCATGTTTGGTAGGGTAGGCTCGATCGTCTACAAGTATATATGTTTGCGTAATAATGATTGTATGCAATAGAGGTTGGTATTTTCCACAGTTTCGAGTTCAAAGAGTGCGTTTGATTGTATATTTATTAGGAAAGCTGCAGAAGTTTGAACACTTTGTTCAATAAAGTCTCTTATCTGGGCATTATCCCTCTTCGCTTACACCTTTGAATCTGAATCTAAAACATTAATCTTCATTCAGATAATTGTTTAAGTGAAGATGATATATGAATCCAGCAATATTAAGCGAAGATGATATGAATCCAACAACTAATCAATTGCATTGCATGTACCCGAAGAAGTAATTACAAGAAGCAAGACAAAGAATATTTAAGTATCAAATCAAGAAAATAAATACCACCTGATACTGAAAGTGATTAGAAGACTTTTTCTATTTTTATTTAATAGCTCGTAGTTGAACTATATTATGTTTGAATTATCTTGTTGGCCTATTTAAAAGCACGTAATATTCAAGTTTAAAAATCATTATTGAATACAAAAACCTTGTGTTTTATTGAAACTCTATGGTATTATTTTCAAACCTTATTTTAGGTTTGAAGTAAAAATCGATACATTAGATTAGTCTTAATCAAGCTAATTCTGGAGTGAGTCATCTTAGGATCTAAGAGTGACCATCATAGATTCCAAGTTCGATCTCCGAGTTATTCATCTTTCTAATTAGCTCTTGATTGGAATCATTTGTTAAAATTAGCTTTATTTGTGAAATTTTGTAAAAATCCTAAAACGACCTCTAGCAGAAGAAGTCATACATTTTTTAAATGTTCATCCTTCGTATATAAGCCATAATAAACAGGAAGATAGTTGAAATAGAATAATGAAATATTAATCTGAACACATTGACCAGAGGGATATTCATAATTGCTGCTACAGATCAAAGTAGTCTCAGACAGAATAAGCACAGCAGAGATCAGGCAGCATGAACACGAAGAAGGGGAAACAAGAAAAGACTAACAAGTTTGAACCAGAACGAAGCAGGATCACGACGTGATCTATATGTACATACCAGGAATTCACAGCATCGTTTAATCTTCAGCGTTACACGGGTTCATAATTTTTTAGAATGTTGTACTTGCACAGAGGACATGTTGCATTCATCTTCAGCCATTTTGTGATACAAGCATAATGAAAATGGTGATTGCATGGAAGAGCATGAAGCTCGGCTCCGTCCTCGTAAGGACTAAGGCATATACAGCACTCCTACAACAAAGATCATAAAGATGATTAAGGATTTAGAAAGAAAACTGATTCAACCAAGAGGAGAAAGATCATTTCCGAATAACGATAAACGAGTTCACTTTACCGCATCCTCGCGTAATAGAACACGCTCAGTCGTTAAGTGTCTGCTGCTAGATTCGATGGGAACCATCAAACCATCCCCAGAAGAAGGCTCATTGGACACTTGATATCTATACTTAGGAAGCATACTTAAATCAGCATCGGTTGCACCTTCCTGTTGAGATGTGAGGGGGAAAGGAAGGAAGGAAAGAAAGAAGTTAGCAGGTTTCATGGGGCCTGAATTTGGCTAACATCTCTGTGTGGCAGCCATGAAACAGGGATTTCCTCTTACCTGGCCTGCAACAGCATAAAGAATAGCTATAATGCAAGGCAAGCAGCAACAGAGAGCAATTCCAATCAAACATGCCAAAACAACACAAAAGATGGCAAAGAACACATCAAATGCCAGAAATACCACAGCCAACCTGCATAAACTCAGAATTAGAAACAGATAAATGATGCATGCCCCCCACCACAGCCAGAATCACGATGGTTCAAAATCATACCAGTATAAAGATGGAGCATTCTGCATTAGGATGTTACCCCCAGCCACGACCCAGTAAAAGCCAAACAACCACCAAATTAATGATATCAGGGTGTTCACTGACTCACATCTTTTGGCAACACTGCTCATCCGCCACCAAGTCAATTACATGCTAATGACTTATAAATCATCAAATCAGGAATCTATAACTGATCCTCACCAATTTACTCATTCATTCAATCAATACAACATTTAAAATCAGAAAAGCTATCCACTGCCTTGTAATTCAATCAAACCCGAGTTCAGACCCATATCAAATTTCAGTAAAAATAAGCAATGTTTGAGTTCAAGACGGTCACAGCTTTATATAGCAGAGAGAATTGAAGTTTTACTCACCCGGAGAGATTCCAGGGGGTACCATCTTCTTCATCGCTTTCATTAGCTACATATGCATTATGCTGCGTCTCCATATCCCTAGCCCTCCTCGCATTCCTCCTTCTGAATTCAAACCACACAAGCACAGCGTGCACCAAGCATTGAACCGCATAAACGACAATCCAAAGCCGAATTGGCGTGTTAGGTTTTTCATCGGCCGAGTGAATAAGCACACCCAGAGAAGCGAAAACGAAAGCCAAATTCCACATAATGTCAAGAGCCACCACCGGCTTGGAATACCCCCAATCGATGCGGCGCTCTTCAAGTTCACGCGCCGCTGTCTCCCGGACCACCATAGAAGTTCCACGGCGGCCAGTGGCGTGAGCGAAGAGAACAGCGAGGGGGCCGATGGGGGAAGTGGAGGCGTCAGAGTTGGAGGGATGACGGGAGGGTAAGAGAGGGATCTGTTGGGCAGGCGCCTCCATGGAAGGAGAAGACATGGTCGCCGGTGAGGATTTGATTGAATGAAATTAGAAGGGTTATGAATTGGGGGCGTCTTGATTGAGAAGGAGAATCTTCTGCTGCTGGTTCGTGGTTTTAGAAATTGATGGAAAGTTCATGATCCGAGGGAGTATCACGTCCATTCTTCACTTTGTTGATTCCAAAATTTCAATCCTGCCTTCTTCTTCTCCCCTCTCTCTCCCCATTCTCATCCTTTCTTTTTCCCTACGAAGGTTAATTTTTAGACTAATTTACATCAAAACAAAATGCTAATAATAAATAAATCCATTAAAATTTTGAAATCTATTCACCAAATAAAAACTAAACTCTCAAATAGATTTACTTTTTTTCCCAAATGATTATGTAGATGGAGGGATTTCAACCAACTATAATGGGAATCTTATTTGTAAAGAAACCAATGGAGTTAAGCAAAGTGACAATAAAGAACAAGTATCTGTGAATTTTTTCAATCAACTATAATGGTGGAAGACATCCAAATGACACAACATTTAGATCAAGATATGACCGCTATGAATTTCTAGTAATGTCATTTGAGCTAATGAATGTATCGATAATATTAATGGAATTGATGAATCGAGTATTCAAGAAGTTATTGTGTTCACAAATGACACCCTAGTCTACTCTAAGATCGACAGGGATCACGAGATAATTTTCAGAGAATTTTAATCATCACGAGGGAGAATAGTTTGTATGCTAAGTTTTCAAAATGCAAGTTTTACCTACTACAAGTGGTGTCAAAGGAGGGAGTCTCTCTGAACCCAACTAATGTGAAAGGCATGTCCTACTAAAGTTATTGAGATACGTAGCTTCTTGGGCTTGATAGGCTATTACAAGTGATTTGACGAGATTTATTGAAGATAGTCTCACCACTAGCCTAGTTCACTTGGAAGAGCAGTTCCTTTGTACGAGATGAAGTGTGCAAGACAAGCTTTTAGGATCTTAAACACATGCTAGTGAAGACCTCAATACTCACATTGTCAATTGGAAGAGGTTTCGTGGTTTACAATGATGCCTCTAAAAAAGGATTGGGTGTGTGTTAATGTACCATGGAAAGGTTATTGTATATACTTCTCGTCAACTAAAATATTATGAGCAGAACTACATTACCTATGATTTTTGTTAGTTATAGTAGTATTTGTGTTGAAGATATGAAATTACTGATTATATGTGACGCAATATCTATTACTCAAAAGTGTAAATAGATATGAAAATATTATTATTCAGAAAGAATACATATTTAAGAATGAGAAATAGAATTGGAATGCAAGGTTAAATCTTCAGTGATATTCACAATCTTTAAATGGGATACAAGATACTAACTAACACCTATAAAATATAAACTAACTAAATCTTGAGAATAAAATATACTACTATTCAAATTTAACTAATTACTAATATCTAATATATATTGTCTGACTAATATATTCTTCAAATATTAAATGATTATGAATATATATATTTCATAACTAATTCAAACTAGAAATAAGTCGCACTAATTTCTGTCAGCTTCCTGCTTATTTCTCAATAATTTTAAGTGCGTTACGAAAAACTTCAAACTTTACTTTGTTTCCCTGCCTTCTTGTTAGGAGCTTCTCTTTTTCTCTTTCCTTTTTCCTACGCCTTTTCTTCTTCAGTCGTTTCTATTCTCTTCTTCAGCTTCATTTTCAGCTGATGCATCAGGAGAAGTTACAAGGTCAGGTGGGTTCTCAACTTTGACCTCTTTTGAAGAAAGAGGAGGGTCTGCTGATTTTGATATAGTAGGCCCCTCTCCTAGCTCATCAAGAATCTTATCCAAATCATCTTCTTCTTTTTATTTTTTTTGAAGTTTTTGCCACCCTAAAATTTTGAGTTAGTGACTTAGTAGTTTTTGTTGTCTCACATTTCTTTTTCTACCTCTTTATCTGATACATCAAAATCTCTGGTCTTCACTTCTTGATCGATGCCCTTGCTTTCCTTGCACTTGTCATCCAACTGAACTGAAGATTCTAACGAGTTCTTGGCATCCATCCCATTACCATGTTCTCTTTCACCATCCAAACTAATTTGTCGCCTTCATCAGCCACATCACGTTTATCCTTGGTACAATTCCCCAAAACAATCGATACATCCTGACTTTCTGAAAAACCAACGTCATCACTGTAAGCTTCTCTCTCTTTAGCCACATCCATGCTCTTATCCAACAACTCAGCCTCTATTATAGCACTGTCTTCCTGAACTTGGTTTAGATTCTCACTTTCAGCCTCCCTCTGACCATTATCAGAATTCAAATGCTTTTCTTCTACCAATTTATCTTCACTCTTAGGAAACGATTCAGCTTCATATCCAGTTTCTGACTTCGGATTTGGTCCGAGTTCAAGATTCGATTCAAGTTCAGAAGCAAGCGTAGTTTTAGCCTTAGGGTCGGGTTCTAATTCTCCTTCCTCTATTTTGTTGGGCCCTTTACTCTTCTTTTCATCCTCATTTAGAGCACA